CAGAAATCAGTAAATTCGAATTTGTGGTTAACGTTTGCAGGTGTTCATATGCAGGAGATGTCAATTCATCCTGAAATCATTCATTCACGAAGCTGAGGATCTAGGAGAGAAAATTCCGGGACTTATGGTCTAACTTTCTGCTTTTCTGCACACGTCATTAGGCGCTGATCTGGATATTGGCACCCCGTCAACATAAAACATCTTTTTATATTTAATCTCTCATTGTTCAGTTAGTGGACTTTAGCAAGCTTATTGTGATTAAGTAAAGATCTTAAGTCAAACTTAAAGCTACTTTCAACAACAATGTTAAAAAATTCATAAGTTGTAAAAATAAATTTCTGAATTTTTGATCGAATAGCTAATTTGGCGCCCCTTCTATTTGTTCACCTAAGGCAAGTGTCTCGTCCCGGCCCTGATATATATATATTTGGTGCGGCCGATTGCAACCAAAAAGGGGAGTGCACAACTACATGTACGTATGTATCTCGAAAAAATCGCTTCTGAATCCATTTTAAATCAGTTTTGTAAATCCGTTTCGGGAAAAAGAGTCCTTTGTTTTGCCCTTACGTAATGATGTCAAGGAAAAACATGGTTAAATTGTATTCGATAGCGGTCAAAATGAATTTTTTCGTTGAAATATGGTACCCGGAATTTTTCGTGATTACAATACACCCTTTAATTCGTACAAGGAAGTGAAAACACAAAACAATTGTGATTTTTTTAACAGTAACGTCGGTATTTGTGATTATGAATTTTATCCTATAGTTTGCCTTGTCTGTCTTTTGATTAAAATTTTATCTAATTGAGATGAAATTTTAGATTTTATCCTTCTGGGCAACAATTTAAGCTACAGTGTGCGAAAAACATCATTAAAGTTTTTAAGATAATTTCCTTTACGTTATTGAGCTTACAACTTGCTTGCAATACATGCCAAAACAGTAAGAAAAAATAAATCCTTAAAACAAGAGATAATTTATGTAAATGTGAAAAATTAGTGTAACAATATTAGTTAAAAAATTAGAAATGCGTAAAATTGTAAAGGAAAATGTATTCATACACTGAAAAGGTTTCAGTCATCTCGTATGCAATTTTTTTTTGTTACAACAGCAAAACGTAATCTTGTTATATATTTACTTCTGTTTGTTTTACAAATTGCTTGTGCGAATATTTATTTTATTTATTTATTCGCCAACAGGTCCAAATAATCCAAATTGTCCAAAAAAGGAAAATTTTTATGTGAAATAGGAAGTACTGTAAATAAAACTCATGCTCAATACATTGTAAAAAGGTTTAAAAAGGCCGGAACTTTGGAATATAAGTATCATTTTAGGAGACTCAAAATGAAAGATCATTTTGAAGAAAAGGGTTCTACCGGTGACCCTATTGCTTAATCCTTACGAACGCGGATCCGTGAATAAAGCGTTCATCCTGAAATACACGTGGAGAGCATTCTTATCGCGTTGGCAAAAACTGAGATTTCAACTTAGATTAACAGGAAGAAAATATCTGAATTTTTTTTACGCTTTTATGATTTTTGTACCTGCGGTCAAATTTGTTAATACTGGTTGCTCGACCAGGTTGGAACCGAGGAGAATGGACTGGTTGCATGGTTGACTTTCGTAGTTTTCTCTTGTGTAAGATGAATAGGAGCCGGTTTTCCTTTGAACGCCTTTCACAAAGGCATCCTTTCCCTTAGGCAGATAGGCCTCTTGTGCTTTGCTATATCAAAATAACCTATATAAATCGTTTCAATAATTTACCAAACATAAAATTTTGAGAAAATTGAGTTAAATCCTTTTATAAGTTATTCTTTGATTGCTTGGGAAGCTACCAGAAAAGAAGTTCTTTACAGAACATATGGATGTTGATAAAAAGGTTCTCTGCATATCATGCTCGAGTATGTAGACAAAAATCGTTCATAAGTAAAGCTGCTAGAGAGAACTGATTTGACTTTGTAAAATAATTCTTTAAGCTTAACAATTTTTGTTAGGCCAATCAGATGGACACAAGTTATGATATATTACTTTAGATATAAGCTCTTTAGAATAATTTTTCCCGGCTGACTAGCCTCAAACAATGCTAACATTACCTACGGTAGATGTTCGAGGACCCTATTGTTCCACCCATTTAGTGTTAATTTTTGTTTAATGTGTTTCGCTTCGTGAAGAGTGTACGAATAAAGGGTAACTCGAACTACAGTTTTAAATGTGGAAGAAAAATAACTACTTGCGGTCTACATGGATGAAAACTTCAGCAGCAAAGAAGATGATTATATAATACAGTTGTAGAGACATTACGTTAATTGGAAAAGCCAGAGAGATGAAAAATTAGCAACAGCCTTCGCAGGGAATCGAAGCACGGACCATAGAAATACTAGCTCAGTGTGCTGACCACTACACTACGAGCGCACGCTAGAAAGGCGGGAGAAATACCTTATATACTACACCTTTTAAAGGGCGACTGGGGTTTTCTAGGAGACCCAATTGCCAAATCCTGGTTGTGGAGAGTCATCATTTACAATCCTTTTAGTTCGGGAGCCACTGTAGAGACATTAGGTTAATTGGAAAAGCCAGAGAGATGAAAAATTAGCAAACGCCTTCGCCGGGAATCGAACTACGGACCTCAGAAATACCGGCTCAGTGTGCTGACCACTACACCACGAAGGCACGCTAGGAAGGCGGGAGAAATACCTTATACGGTGACATACGAAATTTGTACAGACTGATGAACTTTTGAATCAGTATGATTGTTTTAAAATTTAAAACGGCATTTTGAAATAAAAAATCCGATGTGTACACCACATGACTTCCTTGTACGGAATATTAAATTATACGCATTTGTTTCTTGCATTTCTTTTAAACTTATTGGATTGAATTAAATCTACTTCGCCGACAGCGCATAAACCACAATAGAATAATGGCATTCTTTAAAATTCACTCCATTCGTTTAACATAGCGACACTCTGGCACTAGGTTCACTTAACAGCATTATATTTCGTTCATATTATAACTCAGAATGCACAAAATGTATATCATTTAAAGAATTATCTAATCGTTGCCACATGTTCTTTTCAAATACTATAATAAAGCTAGAACGATGTAAAAAAGAAATTAAGCAAACAAAGCAAAAAAGAAACAGTTTTTTCAGTTTTTCACAGACGATTGAGTACTTCTCTCATTCAATTATTCAGTTTTCACTTCGCGACAAGACAAAAATACATAAAAGCTCAAAATATCTGTATTAAAAATTACTAATTATTAAAAATTACTAATTATTAAAAATTAAATTACTAATTATTAAAAATTAAGTAAATCTTAAACACTTATTTCCTCGAAAAAATTCCAGAAAGGATTAAGCATGATTTAATTCGCAATAATAAATGAAGGCGTTATTTTTGTTGTTGCGAAGCTTAGTCTCTCTAGATTGGCAACAAATCTACAATTCTGCTGTTTCAAATGTAAAAAAATATGTCCGCCATGTTATTTAAAATTTAACCGCACTTAAACAGCTTTTAGATTGTTTATAATTGTACAAATATTGCTTCCAGAATTACGAAAGGCATAAAAACCTTAACCGGAAGATAAGAACAACATAATTCAATCATTTTTAAAGCAAAAAAATGTACAGTTTACAAACATATAAGAGTAAAGAAACTGAGATCACTGTGCCGAGTAACAGAGTGGATATATATATATAAATATAGTATTTATATACGTTTGGTGCCGCCGATTGCAACTAAAATACGAGGTGCACATCTACATGTTATAGCAGTCCTATATACAAAATTTCAACGTTCTGAGGCTACTCGTTTTTGAGTTATGCGAGATACGTACGTACGCACGCACGTACATACGTTCGTACAGACGCCACGAAAAATTCTCTTCAGAATTAATTTTAAAGCAGTTTTATAATTTTTTTGGAGGAAACGAGGCTTTTATTCTGTCCTTACGTAGAGATATCACGCAAAAACATCGTTAAATTGCATTCGATAGCGGTCAAAATGGATATTTTCGTTGAAATATGCTGCCTGAAACTTTTCGCGATTACAATAGTTCCTTTTTACTTCGTACAAGGAAATAAAAATACCACTAAAACAAGGAGATTTGGAAATTTGATTCCAAACAATAGTGAAAGAATAGTTGCGATACGATACATCATATAATCTGTAAGTTCTGCCTTATCCGTCAAATATCAGCTCAATCGAACACATTTGGAAGGAAATGAAAAGGAAACTTCAAAATTGCTCAGCATCAAATAAACATGAGCTTAAGCATAATGTAGCATAAGGAAAAAAAAAGTAATGCTTTAATTTGACAAACTCTATGCTTAAAAGTCTTTAAGCCTTCCTTTAAGGAAAAGCGTATTGTTCTAAGTATTAAAATATTTTACTTTGCTTTAGCATTTCAGGGTGTGAAAACTTTTTTTTTTTATCCATTGGTGTTTTTCACTATATTCAAAGTTAGCTTTTTATTTTATTATGTGTCTGTGTTTATTGTGTGAAGTATATGTTGAAATATATTTCAGTGATGATTTCGTTCCTTTAAATATGAATCATCATTTTCATATTAAAAGTTATTTATAGAATTTTCAAGGTTTCAAAATAATATAAGCCTATGAATACGTTTTCCATCGCTGCGCTGCTCAAATTTCAAAATGTCCAGTAAGAAATAAACATGTTTTTACATCAGCTTTTTTATACTTTCATTTAGAATATAATTTTTCTTGCAATGTGACGATTATTCCCTACATCTTTATGCAAACTTCTGAACTAAATGTTTTCTAAACTGATCGTTTAAACTTCTAGAAGCAAATTCTTTAGGCGTATACTGAGGAAATGTTATCTTATTTGCAGCTGACGTATCCAGGTGCTTAAACATTACTGAGAATAATACGTGTAGTACTGTTTTGTATTTGATAAACATTTAAGAATTATAATGGTTAAAGATTTATATTTATAAATATTTGCTTTTTTAATTAACCTATTATTCATTTATACATAGAGACAGCAATGGGGGTTCGTATTAATGCGCAAAGTGGACAGTATCTTGAATATGTAAAGGCTATAAGTCAGTAAGTGAAATATTTCCATAATTATTAAACTTTAAGTATCTTGTTTTTACTACAATCTCAAAAGCACAAGGTTTTCATTTGAAAGAATGCAAATGAATAAAATTCTGAAATATTCTTATCTTATTTCTGAAAATATTCAAGATTTTTATCTTTAAAATGGCCGCCCAACCGGTATAGTAGTTAGTCACGCGGGCTGCCGTGCCGAAGGGACCGAGTTCGAATCCCGGAGGTGGCATGGATGTTGGTAAATGTGTGGTGTCCGTGCGTCATGGGGGCACTCTAAACATGCGGCGAGCCGAAGGTCCTCTCGGAAGGTTGGTGATAGGGGAAGAGGGGTGGAAGACCCTTGGACACGTCCCCTCGGGGTGCTCTCCTTTAAAATTAGGGATGGAACTCTTATTTGGCGTTTTCTATACCACGAGCTTTCTGCCTAGTCGAGCTTTTACTGTAATATTCTCAACGTTTCGCAGGCTCGAGGTATCAAAAGATTTTTTAGCATTATTAAAAGCAAGTATTCCAATGAAAAAGGGAGTCTGATAACTTAACTTAATGCAAGAAAATTTACCTTCAACTATTAAATTCTGTTTTTAAAGAACTTTTTTTCTGTACCATGTTATGGTGCTTTTAAGAAGACACCACACACAAATTGAATTTACCTAACATCGACCTAAAAATATAGAATTGCGTTGTGTAAATTTAAACCGGAATAACCTCGTGTAAATAAAACATACAATGTGATCCAATATCTATATCTTAAATTTTATTAAGTTTTCTTAAGTGGAAGGCAAACAATTATCAAAACAACGGGTACCAAGATTAATTAAAAATAAATGTCTCGGAGATTAATTAATAAAAACAAATTTCCTTCACAACATAATGATTATTTTAACAGTTTCATACTATAATTGGTAAAATATCAATTTATAACTACAGTGTAGTTTAACCTAAATATTGCACTAGTTGATTTTTATAAAGATTAGATAAAAAAAAAAAATCACCTCTTAAATTCTTTTAACTTAGTAAAGAACAAATTTTCAATTTTAAGCATTTTTAGAAGCTTAACTAACCAGAAAATTTACATGCCAATCGAAAATTAAAAAAAAAAATTAACTTATCTTAAAAAAATTTTGCGGAAATCCAGAACATTTCACAGAAGCCCTCTGCATCCTAAGACGAGTTGCCGCCCTCAGAGCACCCAGAATGGAGGAAACAGATCAGATGGTGCGGAATAAAGATGGAAACACGAATAGCATATCTTTAGTATATCCGTTATTCCTTAAGTGCAACACGGATATCAAGTCCTCCACAAAAACATATCTTTTCTTAGGCAAATGGCCATCGCATACTTTGCAACAACCAAACGAACCAAGATGTGTACGAAGAAAGCCAGAGCAAAATTTCGTGAGATAAACCAAAACAAAATCCACGCAGCGATTAATCTGCACGTCGAAAAACAAATATGTGAATAATATTCTGATGTAAATTTTAATTTTACATGAATTATAATCAAATTTGACTTACTCTTATACGAGATACTCTTTATTTCTTTTGCATATTTTTTTATGAACTTATGTAGTACGTATGTACACGTAGAAGCGCAAAATGTTTTCTGCGAAAAATATCGGAAATGGGAACTGTTCAGGAAGCCTTAGTTTAAATCATTATAAGGAGTTAGTTTCCTCATATTTTAATATTTCTTCCAATTCAATATAATAAATGAAATCATATTTCTTTTCCCAAGCACCAGTGATATCTTCATTCTCAGACTGTTCAGACCTTGGCTGTGGAATGATTTCATATTTTTTAACTTCTTTCCTTCTGGATGGAGGTATAAGAAAAGTTTGAAACTTCTTCATCAGTTTACAAGAACGGTAGATTATACGAATTTTCAGTTTTTTTCATGTCTTAACATTTATTACGCATTTAAAAATGCAATATGTTTTTGTAACGAATTAATTTTCAATATTTCTGGCATTCATTTGTATCTGTGATTTATTTTAATTTAAACATATATTTAATGTACTGTTAAGTTGCCTTTATTGTGAGCTACTGTAAGAGTTTTTATATTTTAAGAACGGTTTCAGAAGGTAAATTTTTACAATCTGAAATTGTAAATGTATGCGTATTTAGACTTATGCAACAAAAGTCAGCCAAAATGCAAAAATTGTTTTTAATATGCAGAGATTTCACAAATTTCTTATATATATATATATTTTGTAATAATAAAATTCCATAGTCAAAAATACACTTAAAATTCTAACTGTATGTTCTTTTCATTTTTAATGGCGACGGTCTCTTATTTGAAAGTACGTGGAATTAAATCCACAGCCTCGTAGTCAAGTTGTTTTCCCGCCTTTTCTACACGTACAGTTATAGAATGTTCTGGAGATATTTAAAGCGAACTGGAATGGCTGACGTCATTTCTTGGAAGCTCCTCCTTTCCAGAGGCTATAAAAGGACTCGCAAAGGAATATCGGGGTCTTTTCTTTAATGTAACGATGCAGTAAACTTCATACAAAAAGTTATTAGTAATTCTTTTTTATTTACTCCAGAGATCAGATTTTTGTAATTGCTATTTCCCCTGAAATATAATAAATGGATCCTGTTTTTTAAACTTATCGTTTGATACTTTAAGCTACGACTACATCTATGATTCTTCACCAATCTATTTATTCCGGACAAAAGCTGGTACATCACATATATATAAGATAAAAAATATGAAAGCAAACTTCTAACTTTACTTGGCTATAACCTCTTTTATTTTTCATTTAATCTGTGGACTCATCTCTATGTTAGAAATAGCGCCATAAGTATAAACTGCGTCATCCAAATGAATCAGGCCATCTTACGTAACGCTTAATGCAGATATCACTTGCCTAATCAAAATATTTGTAAACCGAAACTAATTCGAACTGAAACGTTTCGACTCCTTCCCTTCTTCCTCTGCATTTACTACTGCGACACTCTCTTTTCGCTTAAGCTTTCATCCTGTTAAGACATTTTGCTGCAATCATCTATGTGCTGCTATGATCGCTTCTACTGGTATAGTATCAAAATATTGAATGTTCTGGAAGTGGGCACGTTTGGAGTGCCAAGTGAATTGTGGCCACCAATGTAAATTTAAATAAATATGGAATTTAATTCGGCTAGACTGTTTCTTCTTAAAAATGGATGGACGCTCGAAGCATCAAGTATCTACGCCATCAGTATTTCTACGCTTCTACGTCTCAGTTGTCTTAAATCAGTGCTTCCGAAATTGTTCTGTTATTACATTTTTCGGCCAGTTCTAATTATGAAGAAATTTACACGGATTTGTTATTTTATGTTCACAGTGAATCATGGGAACAATTTTCAATCAAATCATTCATATCGTATCATCGAACCGCAATATTATCATATATACATATTCAGGGTGTATCAGTACATCGGTGACCAACTTTCAGGAGAGTTAGAGTACACCTAGGCGCTGGGAAATCACATAGGAATGCATCGTCGGAAGCGCTTTTCTGGCTCGGTAATGACGCAACAAAATACGCAGAAAAGGAAGGACGCAAATAGTGAGACAAAACATATTTTATTATGTTTAGTACAACAGAAACCTTCAAATAAGAACAAAAACAACGATCGACATTAAAAGAAGGTGTTCGAAATTAGGACCCCGGACCGTGATACAGGCCTCGTTGTCTCTTTATGATGTTTATGACAAAATACGCAGAAAAGGAAGGACGCAAATAGTGAGACAAAACATATTTTATTATGTTTAGTACAACAGAAACCTTCAAATAAGAACAAAAACAACGATCGACATTAAAAGAAGGTGTTCGAAATTAGGACCCCGGACCGTGATACAGGCCTCGTTGTCTCTTTATGATGTTCTTTTATTTGTTTTTGTTGTATTCCGGATGATAAACATGATTTTCCCGCCGTTTGTGTCCTTTCTTTCTTGACTTTTGTGTCGTCATTATCGCACCAAGAAAGCGTTTCCGACCATGCATTCCTATGTGATTTCTCTTCGTTTAGGTGTATTCTATCTCTTCTTAAAGTTTGTCACTACTGAACTGATACACCCTGTATATTATTATGAAGAAAAGCATGATTCTTCATATTCAGTTCCTTAAATATTTTATTGCAAATTTTAATCTAGATCAAACAGTTTTAAATCTTTTATCTTGAAGGAAATTTAAAATTAATTTCAAATCGAAGAAAACTTTAGTGTAAATTTCTATATCCAGTTGTAAGGATCTTAAGTTTTACTAACGTTTATTTTATTTTAAATCTTTACTATCACTTCTTATTTTCTACTTCCGGCCAGAATTAAAAGCTTTAACTTATTTATGCAAATTTGTCTTGCTAACGCCAAGTACTTAAGTTGTGGCTTTTTGCCAAGCAAGAGAGAGGAAGGAGCTATTAGGAGCGGGCCGCTTGCCATTGCAGTTTTACTCGGTTGCTGGTTGCCTTCAAGGCCAGAGGTTTAATCCTCTTGATAATTTTAAACGTATCGTAGTGTTAGCAGTTCTCTGTACTACGTACAGCTTTTTGTTAATATACGGCCAATCTTGGAGTTAGGCACTTGTATATTAATCCAAAGTTAGTTTAGTTACAGTTTAGTTAATATTTTTATATTCTTACGTTCAGACCACAAGTGGTTGGTCTCTGTATTCCGAAGTCCGGAAATCATGTAAAGAGAGAAAATAAAGGGTTTCGTATACATACCCTTCCTGTGTGTATTGTCTACTTCCCAAATTTATTGAACATAGCTTTAGTAAGCTCCCTGTTCCGAGTCAGGACAGTTAAATGTTCCCTAAGCAAGTAAAGAGGAACACAGAACCTGATACAGTGACAATGGTACTTTAAAGACAAAGGGCAAGATTTGGTTATGGATATAGTCGTTTTGACCAATTACTCATGTACTTTTGTGATTCTTCCAGTCCATGAAGAAAACCTTTCACGCAATTCAAAACATAGGCTGAAAAGAGGTGTTTTTAAGAATGTGTGTGTGTGTTATTATTGTGTTTTGTTTTTTTGGCAAGATGTATTAAAAAAAAAAGGATGGAGGAATTCAATATTCTATGAAAATGTAAACATGTAAATTCTGCTAGTGCGTATAAAAAAAGTCTAAATGTTATTTATTTTATGTCCTTTATTCATTTATAGTTTGGAAAGTGAAGTGATTTCAAGCTCGGTTTGGTTAATATAATTACGGCAAAGCAGTGAAGGGCTATCTTCTTAAGGGAAGGGATGCCTTCGTGGAGGACTTTCTAAGTCAAACTGGCTTGTATACACGTTACACATGGGGAATACCACGAAAACACCCGCGCAACCAGCCCGTTCGTCGGGATTCGAACCCCGAGCAGTATTCAACGACTTTACCGCTCTGCCGCTGGTGGGATTGAAGTGATCCCAAGTAAATATTCGAATGAAAAATTCAAGGCGAACTATTTAATAATTATTAATTGTTGAACTTACCAAAGAACATTCTATTACAGTTATCTAGTTTACAAAAATTTGAAATATATATTTTTATTTTATAAATAAAAACTATTTAAGGAAGTTTTAGTTCTATTCAAATGTTTCCTAGGTGAGAAGCTGCAGAGAGCAAAACATTCATTCTCAAGTTTTGGTTTCCTATTACACATTTCAAATATATATTTGACGTTTGCACGTCATCTAACCAATTTTATGTTTAGAGAAAAGTTAAAAGGTCAAAAGAAATCTTAATTTGTTAATGTATGAAACTCAAATACACTCTTAGACAAAAAAAAAAAACAAAAACAAACAAAAAAAAAAAAAAACCGCAAACTGAAATGCATACAGGTTTTAACGGAAAATGCAAAATTTACATTTTGGCTGCCAATGAGTGAAAGGTTGTCGCTACAGCGCATCTGATCTCAACTGGCAGGATATTTAAAAAGGGAAATTACAATTCCAGGTCATAAATTCTTCACGAATTTCATTCCGTGCACTCTAATAGACAGTAACTATGCCTCGCATACACGTGTGCGAACGATATGCGCAGATGTCAGAATTTGAGAGAGGTTGGTGTAGTGGGGCCCAAAGAAGCCGGTTGGTCTTATCGGCGAATAGCTCGACGTTTGAGCAGGAGCGATGCCATTATTAGACGATGTTGGCAGGAATGGGTGAACCATGGCCGCACAGAGCGTCAAGAAGGATGCGCTAGGCCTAGAGAAACGACAGAACGTGAAGACCGAGCAATCGTCAGAGCGGCACTCACAGCCCCAGATGCATCATTATCATCGATTGTATGTGCAACTAGTCCTTCAGTGACTGCAAGGACCATTTATAGACGGCTCACAGAAAAGGGGCTGAGGTCACGGTGACCCTTGCGCCGACTACCATTGACCTCAGTACAACGTCAAGTCCGTTTGCAGTGGTGTCGGGCTCATTCGTACTGGAATGTCATTGACTGGAGTAGAATAGTCTTCAGTGATGAGTCCCGCTTTGAGCTGAGCCCCGATGACCAGCGAAGGCGAATCTGGAGACGCCCTGGACAGCGGTGTGATATCAACATGACTGTCTTCCGGCAGACAGGCCGACAACAAGGAGTGATGGTCTTGGGTGCCATTTCATTTCATAGAAGGACCCTTTTGGTTGTCATCCGTCGCAACCTTACAGCACAGCGGTACGTCGACGAAGTTCTAAGGCCCGTTGTGTTGCCCTTCCTGTCACGCTACACCTGAACTTTACATTTCAGCAAGATAATACTCGCCCCCACACTGCACGTGTTCTACTGCTTGCTTTAGTGCTTGCCGAAACATTACCTTATGCCAGCAAGGTCACCGGATCTCTCTCCTATTGAGTACGTTTGGCGCATTAAGGGCAAGGGCCCTCCAACCAGCTCAAGATGGTGACG